ACGCCCAGCGTGATGCTTCTTGCGTGTAGATGGCCCGTGCTGCACCAGAAGAGCAGAACCGGAGGACAGAAGCTTTTGGGATCTGCTGGGAGCTGCTGGTTTCCTGGAGGACCTTGTCATTCTGCCTTTTCTGATGGGAAGTTGGCTGTTCTCATCCTTGGAGAAGCTCGGGACCTCACTGTCCCTGAGGATGGCTGTGGCACCTTTGCGGGCGCTCTGGCTCTTGCCTTGAGCATCGCTTCCTGGCTCCAGTGTGGATCCCTCAGCCTGGTGGCACAGACTTTCTAGTTTCCACCCCGGACCTTGGGGCCTTCCCAGTGCAGATCCACGAAACAGGCCTGCAGGAGGCCTTGCTGTGGATCCAGGCCTCAGCTGGATTCTTTGGTCTTTACTGTAAGGACAGAATTCCCGCACTCTTGTATGTGATTCTTGGGGTGACAATTATAAAATAATCTTATAATTCAGTGTCCCATACTGTATTATTTCCCCTTGTAAATCCCCAAGCTACACCAGGTCTCCAAGGTGGAACTGGACAAGCAGGCACAGGACCCAGAAACCCAGCATTTCTGCCCACAGCCTTCACCTGCTGCCAAGGAGGCAGGAGGAGCAGGGGCCAAGAGCCACCAAGCAAGCCCATGTCTCTGTGGGAGCCGCAGAACTGGGGAGGTGGAGGAAGGAGAGGAGAGGGGCCAGGCCGGCACCCCAAGGGCCCAGCCTTTGAGGAGCAGGCAGAGCAGAAGCGCAAAGTCCAGGGTGCCCAGGTCCCTGCAGGAGGGGCACGGGGAGCCCCCTCGCTGGCTCTCACGATGCTGGGTCTGCGGCTCATCCCAGAGCCTCTGCAGGGCCGCCTAGGTTTGCTCCCCACCCCTGCACCACCACCCAGCAGGTGCCAGCCCGGGGTCCCACAGTGGATGGGGCTGCAGCATTCCTGACAGCCTGGCTCTGAGGCTTCGTGTCCTCCTGTCCACGCGTGAGACAGGCCAGCAGGTGGCCCTGGGGGCCCTGTCCAGGTAGACATTAACTTGCACGGCTTCTCCACCGGCCCTGCGGCAGCAGTGGTGCAGGAGCGCTCTGGCCTCTCTCCTCTCCCTCCATCCTCTTCCACGAAGCTCTTCCTCCAATCACACACAGACAAGTAGGGCTGGGAACCCAAGGAAGGGTCTGATTTGCATACCCAGGCCCCACCCCCACCCCTTCTTATGGGCACAGTTGCCATAGCAACTGGCCCCAAAAGACTCTCCTCTGTAGTCACCTCCCCTTTCCTGTACTGCTGGAATCTGTCTGCTTCGCTCAGGCTCTGAGAGTCAGAGCTGAAATCTTACCTTAAGGATAAAGAGGCAGCCTCAGAGAGGGAAAACAACATGCCCCGTGGCGCACAGCAAAATCGGTGCCAGCGCCTTAATAGAAAGAAGCCAGGCCGGGGCTGGAGAGATGGCTCAGTGGTCTAAAGCACCTACTTGAAACAAGCTTGGCAAAGCACAGGGACCTCGGTTAGATCCCCAGCACCACATGCCAGCCAGACCCGCCCCCTGGTGGGCTGAGCTGGCCACACACACACACAATAAATAAATGTAATAAATAAAAATAAATAAATATTAAAAAAAAAAAAAAAAAGAAAGAAAGAAAGAAAGAAAGAAGCCAGGCCTCTCAGTTCCCACTCCAGGTCAACTTCTGTCACCAGATAAAACTCCCGGCGGCGGCGTAGGGTGATCAGGAAGCTCTGCCCCTGCGCCACACCTTGGCTCCAAGGCTTAGCTACAGAACTGTAGGCTCTGGAGCCAGCAGTCACAAAGCTCTTTGGGGCAGCAGGCTCCTTCAAATTGTGCCACCACTGCGGGTGTGGGCTGACATCGGAAGCCCTGCAAGGCTTGGCCCCATGCGTACCAGTCCAAGGCGTATCTTGAAGACAGAGCTTTACCTTGTAGTTTGAAAACAAGGGTTCTCAGAGCAGATCCCTGCCCCTCACCCCGCACTGCGACGACAGGGTTGTTTTGTTGTTGTTGTTGATACAGGCTCTCTCTACACAGTCCAGACTCACAGTGATCCTCCTGCCTCAGCCTCCCCAGCACTGGGATTACAGGCATGCACCACCATGCCCGGTTTCAGTGGTACAAGGGATTGAATTTGGGACCTTGAGCTTGCCCAGCAGGTACTTAGACTGCTGCGCTAGATACCCAGACCTGGGAGGAGAGTTTTATTTAACTTTTTTATGAAGAAATTTTCCAACAAGTGCAGAAGGGGAGTAGCGCAAAGATTTCCCTGCTGCCTGGTGAGAATTACCCAGTGAGGCCCACGGTGGGCTCAGCTTCCTATCCCCAGCCACTACATTACCCAAAACAGACCCGAGGCTGGTTTTAGGTGGTAGGGGGCAGGATCTGGAAGGGGAAGCCACAGGAGGGGCTCGGGCAGGAAGCTCCTGGAGGAGGCCCAGGGCGCGGCTGCACCAGAGCAAGGGGCGCCCGCGTCTGTGCTGGAGGTGGAGGAGCCAGATGAGACAGCCAAGCCCCATTTCCTGCCCCGACCCCACCTCTCTTTGTTTCCTTTCCCCTCTCTTTTCCCCCCTCACTTGCAATAAAAACATAATTACGGGGCTTTATAAAAAAAAAAAAAGGCAAATTATGGTGACATGCTTTAATTATCTGCCGAGGATGGCGGGCTGAATTACACTGGCAGGGCCTCGGGGGTTACCTAAAAATAAAGCAAGAAGCCTCATTAGATGCTAATTGCTGCTTTTGCCAACCCAAGTGAGATCTGGGCACCAAGTGCCATTCAGCTCTGGGCCATGTGGGGGGAGGCCCTGGGAGGATCAGAGTGCCAGGGCAGGCCCCGCGGGCAGCCAGGGCGGGACAGGCAGGCAGCAGGCAGAGAGCGGCCTGGTGCCTCAGCCTCCCCTCAGTGCTCAATGGACCTGGGGGATAGAGAGGGGAGTCTGCTCATCTTTGGGGGGACTGTAAGCCAATTTGGTGGTGTTGAGGCTGAGGGGTGCTAGGGCAGTTGGCACTGTGCCCCATGCTGTTCTCCACACTGCCTCTACCTTGAGGGTCTGAGAAGGCAGTACAGCAGGTATCGATCTAGGGACATTAGAACAAGAAGCCCACCTGGGCCAGAAGGGCCCCTGGGCTCCAGCTTGTCCACTCCCTCTGCAGCCCTGTCCCCAAGATCATGGCAGTTTTACCACGTCCTGTGTGTCTTGCAGCCTGGCAGGTGAGTGGGCTCCTATTCAGGCTGCTTGAGCCCGGTCTCGGGTGTGAGCACCCAGCAAACTCATGAGCCAAACCTGGCTTCACAACTCCCTCCGTCTGGCCCTCAACAGGGCTGTGTGGCTGCACAGCTGGGCCTCACCTCAGAGGCTCGGGGCTGCTGTCCTAGGAAGCCTCGCAGGGCCCCCTGGGGTGAGCTTGTGCCCTGGGCAGAATGGTGGTCACAGCCCCTGGGCCAGAGCAGAGGCACCGGGGCTGACAGCTCCTCGTCCATCTTATTGCAGTATAAAGTCCTAAGGACCCGGAGCACTGGGCCGTAGCGAGGGTTGGGATGGCCCACTGGCCTGAGAGGGACCTACAGGGCTCTCTACCTCTGGGGTGCACCTGAGAAGTCGCCCCAGTCCCGGGCCGCCAGCCCTGGCCACACCTCCATATTGCCGAAGGTCTGACTGCAGCCCCCGCCCTTTGGCCCATGGAGCCCCAACCCTTCTCAGCGCCCAGGCCCAGGAACTATCTATCGCTCACCCCTCTCCCAAGGCCTCACCCTCATGGCCATGCAGGGGCTGGCCTGCCCCTTCTGAGAGCCCAAAGCAGGTTGGGGACAGAAGGTCCAAGCCCCGTGCAGCTGTCCTGGCCCCCAGGGGTGCTCAGCCTCTTCCCCATTCCAGAGGCCTTGAAAGCCACCCTTACCCCTTCCCAGCTGCCATGGTCCTCCCCTGAGAGCTGAGAGCCAGGGGCTATGCTACCCCCACCCCCACCGCAGAGCAAGAAGGTGCCCCATTGCTGTTTCCTGCAGATGGGGTACCCTGAGCAAGCCTGGGCCCAGCGTCACCCACACCCCGAGGTTCCAGGCCAAGCTTCTGCCTCCATCACCTCAAGAGGAAGCTGAGCCAGAGAGGGAAGTCACCAGGAGGGGTGCCGGATGGAACCCCCACCACCTCCCATGTTAACCTGGAAATCCCCAGCAAGCACCAAGGCCTGCAGCTCTGGGCAAGATCTGCACTGGCCAGGGGTCTCAGGCCCCCCAGCTTGAGCAAGGTGCTGGGGCGAGGCCAACCCCTCTCTCTGCTCAGGCTCAGACACTTACCCAGAGTACACTAAGTGGGGGCACAGCCAGAACACCCCAGGAGCACGTCGGGCTTGCAGAGGGCACAAATGCCAGGCACTGTGTGTGACCCAGCCTCTTGGTCACCCTGCACCAGGTGCCGCCTGGCCCCTCTGTGCCTGCACATCCCATGGGTCCTATGGCTGGCCGGCTAGCCGCTGCCACCAGCTGTGAGGTGGGAAAGGCGGGAAGCGCAGACAGCTGTGTCCTCATTGTGTAGCGGGCTCTGTAATTTCCAGGCAGGGCCGGCCCAGCACCACTCCCTCTCAACCTCCCACCTGCGCACAACTGTCGCCAGCCTGGCATTTGTGGGTGAGGCAGACTTGCATATGGGAGGGGACTGATGGGCACGTGCCAAACCTGTGCCAGGGGCTGGAGGCCACATGGCCACACAGGGGTCCTCGCAGGGCCTAGACCTGAGGAGCCACACCAGCTGGGAGCCACTCTGAGGGGAGAATCAGAGCCAGAGAAGGGGACAGGGATGGAGTAGAAAGCAGAGACCCTCATCTGGACCCTGCTGTCCCTGCCTAGGTCTCCCCATGACCCAGAGCCCCACAGTCCACATGGCCTCTTTCTCTCAACTCCAGCCCCTCTGGCTTGGGTTGTCCTGACCCTTGGCCCCACAGCAGGACCGACAGTGGACGCGGAGCCAGGGTGCAAAACCATGTGTTTATTTTTATTAGAAATGTTCTTGGTATAAAAACGATCATGCGCTACACATTGTCATCAATAACCATCACCAGACACCCAGGCACTGAACTCCGTGTGGTCAGCAGGAGGGGCAGGAGCAGGCGGGCAGGACACACGGCAGACTGGTGGGACAGGCGGCGGGCAGGGGGCATGGGGACACACACACACACATACACACACACGAGGCCACCAAGAGGGTGCGGCACTTGCAACACGCTTGAGATTGGGTTTTGTTTTGGCTTTTTTGTGTTTTGATTTTTTTTTTTTTCTTTTTTCTCTTTTGTGACATGGAAAAGTCAGTGGACTGGCTGACTGGAGAGGCAATGAAGTAGGGCGGACTAGAAAGAAAAGTGCTTGGGGGGGCGCCATGTGGGGTCCCAGGAGAGGTGGGCCGAACAGGGCAGGCAGGGGAGCAGAGGCAGAGCAGAGGGGGCAAGAACCACAGAAGCTGAGAACCCAGACAGAAGGACGTGCAGAGAAAACAGGCAGGACAGAGATGGGAGAACAGAAGGACAGAAATGGAGACGGACGGACAGATGGACGGACACGGTGGCCAGCAGGGCAGACAGATGGGAAGGGTGCAGGGAGAACCAGCGCTGGGACTCCACACCCTGAGCCCTGTGCCCTGCGGCCAGCAGTGGCAACAGTAAGACCAAGCCTCTTGCAGTGCCTGGAGCTGCGGGCGGGCCCCTGGACCACCTCCTGTTGCCCACCTGGCTCGCCCCGGCTCCCAGAAGGGACGGCCAGGGCTCCGTTGTCCTCAGCACCAAGCCACGTCTGTGGGCACCCACAGGCACGCAGGACATCAGCTGGGTCCCCAGGAGTGGCTGTGGACAGTGTACCAACCATGGGGCTGTGGCTGCTCTTCATCCTGCGTGGCTCCGGCGGCCTAGCTAGATGGCATGGTTGGTGTAGGTGACGTAAGTCTGTTTGGTGGCCAGTGCTGGAAGAAAAGAGCAAGGGGACACAGGTGTCAGGGGCTGCCTGCTTCATGCCCTTCTTCCCTGCAGGCATTGCCCTGCATGAGAACCAACCTGCCCCCAGTTACCTGTAACACCCAGCCTGGGCCCCGGAACTCAGCGGCTGACCCCTCAGACCCACATGGCAGCCCCACCCTGCCACCCCCCATTTCTAGGTCTGAGCCTGGTTTCCCACCGTGGTCCCTCCTCCACACCTCAGCCCGGGGCTGGGCTGCTCCCCTTCACTTGTCACCCCACTCCTCTGGGGATGGCTCCCCACCCCCACAGAGCCCCGCAGCCTCCTGACGCCACCACACCCTAAAATATTCCCTTTGTTTGTGCGACAATTATGTAACCGTAAAGGATTATCAAAGGGACAGCTCTCAGAAGTTCAAGCACTTGGATTCTGGAAAAGCTCGTGGGAAGAACACGCATTCAGAATGGCAGCCTGGGGAAGGATGGGGACTTGGGACAAAGGAAACAGTGACGACGAGAGAGGCCTTGTTCAGCTAGAAACTGAGGCGTAGGAGGAGTCAGCCCTAAGAAAACACATGTGCCCAGGTCCCCACAACCCCCGGGTATTGTCCTTTCCACTTCTCGGGGCCACTGTCTCCCCTTGGGCTTGAGATGACTTCCTCTCTGCCCCTGTCATGCTGGCCAATACCCCTCACACTGGCACTGGGTGGCACATCCGGGTATCTCCTGTCTCCTGGCCACAGCCCCTCAGCACTGGTTCCCTACGGGGCCCAGACCCGTGTCCACTCTATAGCCAGGTGATGACACCAGCTCTCTTGAGTGTCTCCTGCCCAGAGTGGCCAAAGACAGGTCACTGCCATTTGACAGATAAGCACCCAGGGCCTTTGCTTTTGTGCTTCTCCGTCAGGTTTGGGGACCTTCTCTACAGCCAGTAATAAGGGTCTACAGGAAAGAAGCCAGATAGAAGAAAATCATTGCTATCCTTTGCCTTGAAGCTGCCCCAACTTACTCTTTCAGGTCCTGTCAGCTCAGAAAAGGGGATGTGCTGGCCACTTAAAGTGGAAATTGGAGATGACATGTGACAGTGTGCAAGTTGTCCCATCTTCTCTGGGCTTGGGATGGTTAGGCAAAGGACTACATTTCCCAGCCTCCCTTGCAGCTAGGTAGGGCCTCATAGGCTGCCATCTTGCTACTAAGACACTGGCAGCACATAACCCCCCCATCCTGTGATTGATGTCCTTCTCCTTGCCCTCTGGAGGGCAGTGGCATCAGCTTTGGGTCTCTGGGGGCTCATGAAGCAGCAGGATGGCAGGAACCTGGCCCCTACCTACCCTCCCATGACACACTCTAGGTCAGAAACAAACATCCCTGGCGTTCTGTTCTAGGACCTTTGAGTCACAACAGCATGACCAGAAGCCAATGAACACAGACAAGATTCCCATGTTCCAGGGGTCCTTCGTGAGCGGAGGGACTTGCTGGGGACAGGATGAACCAAGAGGCAGTGGGGAGCTGCCAGGTCCCCAGCATGGCAAAAACAAACACCAAAGGGAGCTGAGTGGAGGGGTGAGTGGCCTTCTGTGGACGTGAACCCCAGTCTGCAGAAGCGTTCGAGCAGAGAATGGGCAGTCACTGGCTGGACAGTGGCAGGGAAGTTTCCAAGTTCAGGCACCACCTGTACAGACATCATGGGATCATGACATCCAGAAAAAGAATCAGAAAACAGCATGGCACCCCACACGATTTATAAAAAAAAGAAAACCCTCCCACGACCCTCCTGGGTGCCTTGTGACAAGGAGCACAAAAGGACCTTTGGACAGCGTGTAGGACCCAGCCTGGGCTGGGATGCACTTGGCCAAAGCAGGCTGGGAGTTGGGTGGCAAGTGCCTCGGGAGGTGGCGGGCACAGAGCGGCTCCGTCTGGGCCACAGGGAGGCCTCACCCACCCTGCCTTTGCTGCTGAGCCTCGGTTTCCCCGCCTAGGACAGCAGTGCGCGGGTGGCCCTGACTCCTTTCCCGAAGGGCTGCCGACCACCTCCAGTACCCCCACCCCCGTCTAATCCTCCACAGATAGCAAAGAGTGCAGCTGTTCAGCTAATCACCCGCTGGCAGGTCAGGCTGGTGCGACTCAATCCCCAGGGCGCCATCAGCCCCTGAGTGAACTGAGAAAACTGAGTTTGCAACTGTGAAGCCCCTCAGCGCCTCGGCTCCGGTGGGGCAGCAAACCCACTAGCCGCGGGGGAAATGCAGCCCTGAAGCAACATGGGCCCTCGAACCAGGGGAAGGGTGGACACAGTGCAGGACAGGAGGGACAGCTGTCCCTCCCCGCGCCAAACCTCTCCGATAGGCTTGCCTGGACCATCCCATTCAGCCCCAGCTACCCCAGGGCCCTTCAAGAGCCTCAGTGTCGCCCTCTAGAAGACGGAGGCAGTGAGTGCCTGGGGCCTGGACAGCTAGCAGTGAGGCTAAAAGGCAGAGGCGGGCCTGGGCCGGTCCTGCACTGGCGCTAGAGGATCTCAGTGCCTGGCACAGGCCCGGCCAATGCCTGACCCTGGGCGCTGCAGCCCCTTCCTCCACAAGTGGCGTGACAGTCAAGCCCACAGCTCAGCCAGAGGTGGCTGCAAAGGCCCTGAGTCTTCTGCAGCGACACCCTGAAGTACCTCGGGGTCCTCCCTGCCGACACCAGCCCTGCCTGGCTGGTTTTCAGTCACCTGCAGCCCAGATAACCATTAGCTGGTGGCGTGAGGCACGTGCTGACAGTCCCCATTTGTTGCCCATGTCTGCACACCCAATCTGCCTGCCATCGGGCCCCTAAATTATTTATTCTGTTGTTTGTTTAAAGATATGTAGCCTGCCAGTGACAGAGTGAAAAATGTCCCTGCTTTGCAGGAATGACACCTCCCCCCTCCTCCCACACACACACCCTCCATCCAGCCATCCCTGGCATTAATCACTGGCGCCTCTGTGGCCTCTGTTACCAGGCTGAGAGGCAATGGGGGCAAGGGTGCCACTGTCCCTGGCCTCCACCATGGGGCACCAGGCTGTCAGCCTCCCCTCGCAGAAAGCGGGGGCCAGGATGCCACCCATCAGGCCTCACTGTCTGCTCAAGCCTGGGCAGTGTGGGGCCACCAGAGCTGTCTGGGAAGGCTGCACCCTCAGCGGTCCCTCTGGCTCTCAGTGTCCCCTCCAGGTCGCTAAAAATCCACTCCAGAGAGGTGGCTGGGACTAAGGTCAGCAGGCACCGCGTGAGGATGCCCTGCCCCGCTTCTCCATTCAGAGCCCCAAAAGGGACCCGGGGGGGGCAGTGGGCTGAGCAGGGCCAGCAAAAGCCAGAGGTCAGCAGGAGGGGAGGGCAGAGAGGACAAAGGGACTATGAAAAGCCAGCCTGCCATGCCTGCCACAAAGCGTGGGGACCCCAGAGACGAGTCCTGTGAAGTCACAGCAGGACCAAGGACAGCATGGGAGCCTTGGGAATGACAGGCCCCACCGGGGAGGCTCCGGGCTCTCTGCGGTGCCAGAGAAGAGGTCCAGGACCCCTCCAGCGCTCAGCCGTGGGCTCTTTGTGGTGCAGCCCGAATGAACTACTCCTTTCCCACCCATCCACAGAGCAGGAGGAGGAGGAGCATGTAGAAACTCCAGGGAAGGGGCTCTTCCCCCACCTCCCGCGCCAGAGCAGCCCCCAGGACTTTCAGGAGGGTAAGAGGCAGTGGGCCGCGGTGGTGGGTGGGTGTGGCCAGACTCCCGTCCCTCCCATGGAGCAGCAGGCCGGGAGGCCCCACCAGCAGATGTGAGGAGGGGGAGGGCAGCAAGTGGGGGCGGGCATGTGGTGGCCAGGATCAGCTGGCCGGGCCAAGAGCTGGCGCTGTGGCCGGGAGAGCTCCTCGCCTTTTCTGGTCTTTATTTGCTTTGCACACAGGACAAAAGTCCCGCCTTCGGGCTGCTGGAGGGCAGAAGCTGGCAGGCCACAGCAAGGGCAGCAGAACAGGGACCACGGCTGCCCAACACAGAGCAGGGCCCTTTCCCGCCCCGCCTGGACCCTGGGCCCACCCCAGGTGTGTCCCCGCCTTCCCACCAGAACGCTAGCCTGCAAGCTGAGTTTACCACTGAAACCTGTCATTTTGAGTGCACGCAAACTGTAGAGGGCACAGGCTGACCCTCCCCGCTGAGGCCTCTGACCACACCCTGAGGACACATTGTCCCACGGCCTACCCCACCCCTGACTCACCTGTCCGTGGCCCATGTCCTGGGTCCCCATCTCTCCAGGCCCTGCTAAGGGGCTGCTAGGCAAAGTCACGCTGCGTTTTATAGCAGCTCTGGCTCCAGGCCCCTCCCAGGGTCCCCTAGGAAAGGGCCGGGCAAGGGTTCTCAGAGTCAAGCCCCCCTCCCTGAGGAACTGGATTGGTGGCCACAGGTGGCTGCCAGGCCAGGCCAGGAAATCTGGGTCTCACAGTCCTGAGTGAGCTGGGCGCTCCCAAGTCCTCCTTTGTGTGCAGGCTGGATTCCACCTCCCACAGGGGCGGAGCCTTTGGAGGGCGTGGTCGTGGGGGCGTGGCCGTGGGGGCGTGGCCCTTGGGTGAGGGTGGGTTGTCTTAGGGAGGCGTGGCTTTGCACTCACCTGGGGCCTCCAGGTTCTCACACAGCTCAGACTTGGCCTCTCCATTGGGCCGGAAGTTGCCCTTCTGGGTGAACTTGTTGGACATGGTGGCAGCGGTGACAACGGCTTTGAGGCTGCGCTTGCGCTTGGGCACGTTCTGCTCCGGGTGGAAGAGGATGATGTAGACCTTGGGCATGTAGAGCATTCCCAGGGACACCGAGGCGCTCAGACTCACCGAGACAGTCAGCGTCGTCGTCTGGATGTACAGCTGTGGGGGTGGGGGTGGCATCAGGGCCACCTGCACTGGCCTGGAGGGCCAGACCCTGTCCGGCGCCCACCCTGAGACAGCCCTGTCCTGTCCTGTGCTCTCGCTGATGGCAGACGGGGGCCGTGGTGTGGATCTGGACTTGAGACCAGACCCTCGGACTCACGTCCTTGTGCCTCAGTTTCCTCGTGTCTAACACGGGCATGGACACTGATCAGCTCACTGCTAAGCATGGCGACTGCTGCCCATGCGTGGCAGTGTCATGCACGTGCTTGGCAGTGCTGCCTCCTCCCTGGGGGCCACAGCCAACCTCAGGAGAGCCCCCAACACAAGCTGAGGGCGAGATGAGCCCTGAAATGACTCCCAGCAGAGGTGCCACAGCCCTCGGATCAGCCCCTTATTCAGAACGGTCCACACACTGCCCCCTGTGCAAAGTGGGCAGGCCCTTAGCACGGCCCCGGCACGCAGCAGCAATCCCGCGATGGCAGCACAGGCAAGCCCATTTCATGCTCGCTCTCCAACACTAACAGTGACAGATGTTTAGCAAGATGAAAGCCCATTAATCTGGGTGTCGGATAATCCATTCTTCAATAGCGGGGCTTCCCGGCAGGGCCCAGCGATTCCCACCCCTCCACCTGGGATTCCCAGCCTGTCTCCCCCAACTGTGCACGTCCCCCAGGCCTCAGCTGCCCCCTAGTCCCCTTGGCTAAGGTGGAGCCAAGGGACATCCAAGCTGCACCTGCAGGTCTGGGCAGGGAGGCGGCAGGAAGCATCTGGCCCTGGAATCCGTGGGGCTGGGCCTAAGCTCCTCCCCTGGGGCCATCATGCCCCCTCCTCCTGGAAGCCCTGTCCCCCCACTCCCACCCCGTGTGGGACACAGGTGCGGACTTGCTTCCTGAGGTCATAGGGGTGTTTTGAAGGTGACTAGATCATGGGGTGCGCTGCTCATCCATGGACTCATTGGGGAGCTCAGAGCTGAGTGCTGTTAGGAGGCCTGGCCTGTTTGCACGTGGTCACAGGGGGTGCGACCTGAAGGGGCATGTGCCTGGGCTCCGGGCCTGCCCGCTCTCTGTTCCTTGGCTGCCGTAAGCTGAACAATTTTCTCCCATCAGGCCCTGGCCCTTCTACCATGCTTTCTGCCTTAGGTGCAGCCAGCCATGGACTGAGCCTGCTGCCCTCTTTTAAATTATGGGGGCCAAGGATTCTGTTCCAGGAACAGGACAGTACTTAATGCGCACCCTCATTTCCAAACCATGAGGTCCCCTAGCACAGACAGCCAAGCAGTGCCTGGAAAGCCATCAACAGGATTAGTAACACACAATCTTGGGTATGTCCAGGAGGGTCATGAAGGCATGAGCTTGGGGTCTGTGTTGTCCTTTGCCCTTTCCCCTTTGGCCTCTTCCTCCACCCCGATTCCTGGCCACCACCAGCTAGGCAGCTATGCTCCACCACACCCTCCCTGCATGACGCTCCTGCCTTGGAGCCAGCTTACCATGGACCGAACCTTATGAACCATGAGCTAAATTAAAGCTCTTGTCGGTTGAACTGTGAGTCTCAAGTGTCGTGCCTTAGGGACAAGAACTAATGCACCTATGTTACACCCTGTACCTCCACCCTGTTAATGGAGATGTGCAGCTGAGCTTGTACAGACTTGGTGACACCAGAGATCAGACCCCCTTCAGGACAGGAGTCTGGCAGTGGATGCTGACTGCCCTGCATTAGAGGCCAGGGGCCTGGGTTCCAAGGCCAGTCTACCCTGGCCCACACTGAGATGCAGGGCAAACATGCTCCCCTCTGGACAGCAGGGACCCTCACCATTAATGCAAGCAGAATCTGCTTCATGGAGCCTGTGCTAAGAAAGGGCACATTTGGTTCAATGCCCAGCTGCCACTGTCTTGAGCTCTACGTGACATCAGGACAGGGCCCTTATTTTGCACCAGGCCCTAAAGACAATGGTGCCCACCCAGGGCACAGACACTGCCACAGCCAGGGACCCTCCCTGCAAACAGAGCACTGAGGGAGCATGAACAGATCAAACTGGAGCCCTCTGTGGCCAGTCCACGGCAGCCCTCCCTCCCAGCACGCCCCCAAGGAGCTCCACCAGCCACACCCAGGCTGTGAGGTGGCCCTTGCAGGCCGAGGTGGAGCTTCCCATCCCCCCCCATGCCTCTCTTTGCCGCAAGGTCTACAGAACCCATCAGTCCCTGGAGCCTGCTTGGCTCCAGCATGGTTTCTGGGTGCCCTGTGCTACGAGGCGACAGCAGGTGAACCTTTCTCAGAGAAGTGTGGCACTCTAGGATCTGACAGGCACCTAGGGAGAGCAGGCCCAGAGGATCTTCTGGTTTTTCTGGAGATAGGATGTCACCATGTAGCCCAAGCTGGCCTTGAACTTACGGTGCTGCCCATGTCCTGAACTCCCATCAGTCCTCCTGTCTCAGCCTCTCAAATGCGTAGACCAGGAGGGCCTTACAGGCAGCAGAGACAGGGCCTCAGGATGTGACCTCTCCTTTTCTTCTATCACCCATCTCCAGCATGTACCTGGCCTTCGACTACTCCTGCCCCAGGTGACCAGGCTATGCCACTCCACCCTCTGCAGGGGAGACTGCACCAGGCCTGGGTCCCCAAGTGAAAGAGCTGGCAGAGCCCTGCTACAGTCAGAGGAGGGGGCTGAGCCTGTGGGCCGGTGAGCCATGAGCTTCTCGCTGTCCTGCTAGGCTGTGGGCACAAGATGTCAGGGGTCTGAGGGCAAGGACTGAGGACCCAGCTGTCCCCAACAGGGACCGAGACCTCAGAATCTACAAATCATACAGATGAACATCATCACAGCCAGCCAGCCTCCACACCCCGTCCTGCCCACCTGGCTTCCCAGGAGCCCCAGGCAGTGGAGGGAGCGGCGCAGGCCCGTTCAGGGTCATGCTACACACTGCTGCTGAGCCCTGGAAGCCACCTGCCTGCTCACAGGCAGGCACAGACAGCGTGTCCACACCCATGTGCCACGTGGAGGCAGGGCATGGCCGAGTGTGTGCAAGTGCACACATGCACACCTGTGTATCCCTGCATACCTGCACGTACACACACCTGAACTCAGGCTGCATGCCCCTGCCTGGTGCACACACACCTTTCACACAGTCGGGGCACACACAATGTACACACAGTGCCATCCAAACACAGCCACACACAGCCACTGTCTATGCTCACAACTAGGCACCTGGGTGCAAATTTACACATACAGTCTGCTCACACACAGCTTCCCAAGGCACACACCAGTCCATCCACTCCCGAATGCCCCTGCATCACAGGGCACACTCGTATATGTGCACTCACATCTGTGCACACACACTTCCATGGCCTGCCCCCCTTCTGACAACAGCCCTGCCCGCTTCACACACACACAAACACGTACGCACGCGCAGACACACGCACACGCACATATGCACAGTCATAGCTACTCCTTGCATTTGAGGTTCACTTTGACACAATCCAGCTCAGATGTGACCTGAGCCACTCAGAAACCTAGTATTTGGGCCAACATATTAGGAGGTCCACAGGGGCGGGGCGGGGCAGGGCCCATGTCCCACACACCAGGGGCAGCCCTGGGTGCCACGGCCACACATCCACGAGCCAGCTGCTGAACGCAAGGCACATCTCTGTCCTCTCAGGACTATGGAGGGGTCACTCTGGGCTCCTTGGTAGCCAGTGCTGAGGAAGCCTCCTAGAGACACCTGAGTGGCAGGTGAGTGCCCTGGGGCACAGGGAGGGTGGGGCACTGACCCCATCCACAGGTGGAGGATCTGACATCCTGGGCCCACTGGAGCCCATCATGAGGGGTGCTGGTGGGTAGAGGGAGGAGCTTGGCTCTACACTGTGGCCTCCCACCTGCAGACCCGGATGACCTCAGGAGATACTTCATGGGACCACCTGGCACTGCCAGTGGGACAACTCCTATTCCACAGACCCAACTTCTATGCCCACAGTTCAGCCCAGCACCCATTACAATGCCAGAAGGCAAGCAGGGCACAGAGCAAAGCCCCAACCACAGGTGGGGAAACTGAGGCCAGAGAGGCCAGCTGCCTCTTCCAGATCCCAGGCAGACACAGCCCACAAGGGGCCTGCTTCATGACTCCCCAAACCTCCGAGGCAGCCCCAGCCCCTGGTACCCAGGCAGTGCCCAGGCTGGGATGTGGGCAGGGCGCACCACCCCCCCCCCCCCGCGCACACCCACAGTGTGCAGACCCTCAGGCCAGACAAACAGGCTGCAATTCCAGCCCAGGCTTCCGAGCCCCAGGGCAGCAGGGGCCTGGGGAGAGAGGGAGCCCCTCCATTTCACACCACAGAGACTCACAGGCTCCTGGGAGGGGCGGATAGTGTAGCAGAAGAAGAGGAGCAGACCCAAAGGCGTGGGGGGGGGGATATATTCCTAGAGAGGGTGGGGTGAGAGCATGCAGCAGCCTTGGATAAGAGAGGAAGGGGCGAGGGTCCAAGAGAAAAGGGAAGGAGGGGGAGGGGCAGGCAAGAGCAGGGAGAAGAAAACAGGAGGCAGGGGAAAGGGAAGAAGGAGAGGAGGGGATGAGGAAGGAGAAAGATGAGGCCCGCGGTGGGAAAAGGCAGAGTGGCTGGGCTCCAGACAGAGGGAAAAGGGAAGGGAAATCCAGGACCCCGGAAAAGGCTTGAGACCGGAAGTAAAAAGACAGCCAGGATCGGAAGGCGGGGTTCTGGGTGAGGCAGCCAGCCTGGAGGCGGATGCCCTGCCTGCCCTCGGCCCCATCCTGTCCCACCCCTGCCCCGCTCTCACCTTGTCAGCCGACTGCGAAGTGCCAAAGAAGATGGGGATGAAGGCGAGCCACACGATGCAGGTGGTGTACATGGTGAAGCCGATGGGCTTGGCCTCATTGAAGGTCTCGGGCACCCCGCGCGTCTTGATGGCGTACACCGTGCAGGTGACCATGAGCAGCATGCTGTAGCCCAGCAGGCAGATGAGCGACAGGTCCGAGATGTCGCACTTGAGCACGCCCCTGGCGAAGCGCGGGTCGAGCGTCCGCTGGTCCTGGAAGTCCACTACGGAGTGGGACGGGTCCACCACGAACCACACACAAATGCCCAGCAGCTGCAGCGAGGTGAGGCTGAAGGTGATGGCCAGCTGAGAGGCGGGGCTGATGAAGCGCGGGGCACTCACGGACCGCTTGCCCTGCTCGAAGATGCGGTAGATGCGGTTGGTCTTGGTGAGCAGGGCTGCGTAGCTGATGCTCATGCCAAGCCCCAGGAAGATCCGCCGCAAGGAGCAGGTCCCCAGGTCCGGCTCCGCGATCATGAGGAAGGTGGTGGCGTAGCACAGGAAGATGCCGGCCAGCAGCACGTAGCTCAGCTCGCGGCCCGAGGCCTTGACGATGGGCGTGTCGTTGTAGCGCACAAAAGTGACCACCACAAACAGCGTGGCCGCGATGCCCACCACAGCCAGGAAGAGGGGCAGCACTGCCCAGGGCGAGTCCCACTCGAGCTTGATGATGGGGATGGGCCGGCAGCCCGTGCGGTTCTCTGTGGGCCGCATGTCGTACGGACACGTCTTGCAGGTGTAGCGGTCCACCTGGTACTGGTAGCCGGTGCAGGGCTCACAGTGCCAACAGCAGGGCATGCCCTTCACTGTCTTCTTCCGCTCGCCTGGCTGGCAGGGCAGGCTGCAGATGGAGCGGGGCAGTTGCTGCCCACTGCCCGGCCAGTGCATCCGCTCTATCTGGCAACAACAGCAGCACAGAGCCGCTCAGAACCCACAGCCCGAGTGCCAGAGGTGGGGGAGGGGTGTCCCTGGGGGCGCCCTACCCCCTGCCCCAGAGCCAGCCAAAAGTCCGGCCACCTGGACTCCCACTGGGCTACTGAACCTGACAGCTGGATTTCAGCAAGCTCGCTCTGTGTGGCTCAGATTCTACCAAAACCCTCAAGACTCACAAGGAAGCTGAGCCCAGAGAGCAGCAGTCACACAGAGGCAGCCGGGGGTCACGGAGCAGCGTGGCTGCGGGGTCCAGATGCCGCCCCTGAAGTCTCGCCACCCACAGTGTCCCAAGCACCCAGCAGCAGGGCTTGCTGGAAGCATGTGTTGTGGCCACCTTGGCACCGCAGTCCTGGCATCAACAGCCCCTCCCTGCACACGCGTGCACCCCAGGCAGGGATGCGCTGCCCTGTGGCTCCGCCTGCGGAGGCTGCCAAGGCAGTTGGCAGAACAGCAAGCAGACTGCACCAGAGGACACTCCCATGTGCCCAGGGGCTAGCAACCCGCCCTGAAGATACAATCACTGGGAGCTGAGGAGACACGGGTGCTGTCACACCCCAACCAATGGGCTGCGTTATTCTGGAACACAAGGCAGCGGCCCCTCGCTCGGTGCCTGCTCCAGGCAGAGCAGCCTGCAGGAAGAGCTCACTCTAGGAGCAGCACCCCCACTGGACGGGCACACAATGCCAGGAACTCCGGAGAAATGCCAGCTGCCAGGCCAGGATCTAGGCAGAGCTTCTGAGCTAAGGAGGGGTAGGGCCAGGGAGAGGATCCAAAGAGGTGCTCACAGCGAGGGGAAGAGGAGGCCTCCACAGAGTGCTGCCCAGCGACTCGGGGCACTGCCGGAGGTGCCACCCCAAGATCCAGGGCGCAGCATCCTTCGGGAATGACCCAGAAGTCCCTGTGTGCTGTGCCCATGGGGCCCAGGGAGGGTTTCCCAAGACAAGGAGGACAGCAGCAGGAGACTGGTTCCAGGGTCAAGGCAAAGAGGCCGGCCATGCCCTAGGCTCTGGTATGCCCCTCGGCAACCAAATGCCTTGACCTCCAGGCCTGTTTCCACCATCTGATCCATCTATAGCAGGCCTGAAGCCACCTTGCCTGGGTTCCTGAGGGCGACTCTTCCAGGAATCAGGGAGGGAAGGCTATGTTTGTGTTTCACCAGGATGGCAGCTCTGGGAGGGCAAAGCCTTCACATTTATTCCCCCGTGATCCTGCACTCCCCACCCCACAGGGGCCCAGGGAACTTCCAGGACATCAAAGAGGACAACCAAGGCCAGGAAATGGCACAGACACCAGTGACAAGCAGCCCTTCAGCCTCCCACCCAGGAGAAAGACAGTAGCTGCTCCTGCCCCTCAGCTCCACCGGGCACACACAGTGGGCTCTGCCAGGGTGGGCCATGGAGATGGGTGTTGGGGTGGGACACCCCTGCACACCCAGCCCTGCCTTCAGCTCCCACATCTGGGGAATGGGCACAAGGACAGCACCTGCCTCGTAGGCTGGACACTCATAGTACACTGGGGGACTGGATCAGAACCAGAGCTGGTGCACAGCATGGCTCAGAAGGGATTCGAAGCTGCAGCTGCTGGGAATCCGAGTCCATGTCGCATGCGCTGGCCCCTGCACCCACAGGAGCAGCCTGCCCTTACTATTCTGGCATTGACCCTCCTTGCCAATCATGCCCACCCTCTCTGGAGCCTCACCAAGAAGGGGCCCTGAGGCCTCAGGAGAGTCCCTGTGTCCCCAGGGCTGGGTTCCCTAAAATATTTCCACTGGCCCAGAAGCCTGTGGGGCTACAGGGGGTCTCGGTGAGGAAGAGGCTATCACAGGAGACAGCAGGGCACAATGCCACTCTCCGGGATCCCAGAAGTTCCTGGGGTCACAGCTCCCCCCTCACCCCAGTATGGTGGGGACTGTTCATGAGTGTTTCTCCTAAGAAATGACTTCAGGGCTTTCTCCCAAAAGCACACCGAAGGGGATACCCAGGGAGGGCCAAAAGGCCCTGAGATGTTCTATGAGTTGGGGCTGTGGGGCTCAGGGGTGGGGACTGGAATAGCTGCCCAGTATGGTCAGTGCAGAGCCCAAATCAGCCCGGGCTCTCTGCCTTGAGACCCATGCTGCGCAGCCCCTCTCTGCCCCTCCCACATCCCGCAGCCTCTGGACCTCTTCCTGGGGCATGACTCATCTATCCAGAGCAACCACTCTGTGGGTGCCCCAGGACAACCAATGCAACAGGAGAAGGCAGGGCCAGAATGGGCAGCAGAACCCTGGCTGCCCTGTTTTTCCCTTTTTGGGGGGGCCTCAGACACCTGAGGTCTAGGGGGGCGCAGGAAGGCCAGTCCCTACTCAGGAGCTGTGGTCCCAGGGTTGAGGTCATTCAGGCCGGAGCTACTCCCCACGCCCTGCCGCCCACCCTGCTTACTCGGAGGTGCAGGTGGTCAGTCCAGGAGCCGATGACCTTGTACTCGGCTGAGGCATTGCGCAGCTGGTACTGGTAGATGTCATAGCGCCCGGGCGCATCTCCGTTCTCATTGAAGATCACCGGATTCCCTGCAATGCCTGTGGAGGTGGGGCCTCCGCTAGACCTCTAGCAAGAGGCAGGGAGGATGACGGGCTGGGGCAGAGAGAGCTCTGAGGAGGTCTGGGGGACCTCTCAGGGGCCTCCGTGCTCAGAAGAAGGTGAAAAGTCCCCCACTCCCTCCCTGCAGGACTCTGTCCCCTGGCTGCAGGGCCCAAACCACGCCCCCACCTGAGAAGTTGACGTTTCGGATGTACTTAAGCAGCTGGGTGCCATCCACAGGGTCCATGCGGGGACAGAGCCCCACGCGGCCAGGACACAGGTCACGGTGCATGGCGTGGAGCGCGTGGCCCATGGCGTACACAGCGTCAATCACAAACTGCACCTTGCCCTCCTGCTCGTATGCGGAGTCCTGCCCGATGCGCTCCCGGTCTGCAAGCAAACACCCAGCTGAGGGCCTGTGGCCTCTCCACCCTCACAGTGGTGCCCTAGCTGCCAAAGCTGACCCTGAGCCCAGGGGAGCAAAGGGTGCCCGGTTGGTGCACACCCAGACCAGTCCCTGCTCTGCCACCCCAGGGATTGGTCCTGAGGCGTTGCCTGGGTGAAGACAGCCTGAAAGACTTCCTGGAGGAGGCAGTGGCTTCAACCCCAATTCTTTCTGGATATTAACTCTGAATTCTCCCAGTGGTGCTCTGAAGTGAACAGTCACCCCCATTAGAGGTGGGGAAACTGAGGCATGGCTGGGCATGGAACATTGCGGAGCCATACAGAGCAGGTCTGAATGCGGGACTCTGGTTCTAGGCTTGTGCCCTGTGCTGGAGAAAGTAGAGAGTGGCTAGGGACCCCCAAAGTGAGACAAGAGGAAGGGAAAAGTCAGACAGAGCTCGAGGGAAGCCCACCACCCTCCCAAGTCCATGGCCCTGCACACGGCATGACCCAGCCCCCTTCTCAAGGATAGGACCATGTTGTGGCTGCTCAAAGCCCCGTCCTAGCCCACTCTGCCTGCTGGAGGGGACCAGCTACGCAGGCCTGCAGGCAGCCTGGGGTGCTGCACCCGACAGGCTGGGCTGGGTCACACTTGGCCCCAAGTCCCTGGAGCCTCAGAGGCAGAGCCAGGTGTGGGGTCACACTGTAGCTGCCCCGCACCCAGCAGGAAGGACAGCAGCCATCTGTCACCCCTCAGCCAGCCTGGACATTCAGTTGACCCTGCTGCCCAGGAGCCCATAGTCTGGCCCAGGTTGGACAGCCACAGACTGCCGAGTGGACACTGAGAATCACAGCATCGCCGTGGTAGGGATAGCAGCGATGCCAGGGCCACCGCGCTCGCCTGCTCCAGCTGCCCCTCTGTGGATGAGAAGCTAAGTCTGGGGGCCTAGAGAGGGATGTTCCAGGTCACTCAACTGGGAAACCGGGCCTGTTGGTGGCCGGATGAGCACCCCAGCTCCTCGGAGCCCCTCCTCCCTGCCCGCCTGCACTAGCCCAGGGCCTCATCTGTGCTGAAGCGGTTAGCTTTGCTAACAGGCAGTAAGATTTCTAGGTCAAGACATGGGTGGGATGAACAGGAGACAGATTCCCAGCTTCACCATGTGCCTGCTCACCCAGACCTCTGATCACAGGGCTCTGAGAGGCAGAAAAGAAAGAACAGGTCCACCGCTGTCCCAGAGGGCAGCGGAGGGGGCTGGTGCTGGGGCCAACCCAGGCCCCCCCCTGGGGCAGAGGAACAGCGCCTGGCTGGACTCCTTGCAGCCTCCTCACGCCTGCCTGGATCTGGATGGGGAATGAATTATTAAGCAGGGAGAGAGTGGCAGGCTGCGGCCACTTTGGAGCGGAGGCCAAGGACGCCAAGACAGACACTCAGAGGTGCAGCTCGCCTCTCCCGGCAGGGGGACCCTCCTCCAGGGTCCAGCCGAAGCATCTGTTTCTGAGCTACTGAGGTCACCAAGCCACCACTGAGCCTAACTCATCAGGGACATCAACAGGGATGCTCAGCACAGCCTGGGTGGCACCCAGGCCCAGGCCCCAAGCCCTGGGCCCCTGGAGATGCAACACCCACAGGTCAAAGTCCCATCAGCCCAGCCCCTGAGCTGCTGGGCCCGGCCCTGCTTGCAAATGCCTGGCCAGACCTGAGGCAGGACACCCTGCCGTTTGTGGTTCTGCAGGAGACACTGGCGGGGGAGGGAGGGGGCTCAGGGGACAGCAGGGACCCCACCGCTCAGGGGGAAGCAGACACGTACATCTGAGAGCTACTGGAGAAGATAAATTCCAGACACATGGCTGCAGTGACAGCAGCAACAGTTTGAAGATGTCCTAATTGTGTCCTGGGGCACAGCAAGGCACAGATGGGTTTGGCTTTGCCACGGGTGACAGCCAACCGGGACCCATGGGGAGGATTTTCTCCGTCAAACCCAGGAGCTGTGGTTACTACGGTGACTGCAGCCTTTGTCTGCAGGTTGTAAATTGTAATTGAAATGCGTTTTCAAGGTTGAAATAATCAGAGTCCTCCTTGTCTCCCCCTCACCTCCAAGCCGCCCACCTCCTCCGCCCGCCAGCCCAGCCGGGATCCCAAGCCCCATTCTCCTGCGCAAACTGCAACGCGCTTCCGAAGTAGCCCCCTGCAGGGAAATGAGGTCCACCACACAGACAATGACGCGCATCTGCAGGGGCAAATCTGCACTCCTGAGGATGTGTGCACATCTGCACACACACGTGTCACACACAGCGTGCACACAGTCACACAGTTCACACAAACCCGGCATTCAGTCTCCCCGTCCTGGGCCGGGCAGTCCCAGCAGTGCTCCATGTGAGCACAGCACGCAGGTGTCCTGTTCAGGAGGGAACACAGACTAAAGGAAGGGGGGTTGGGGCAAGGGAGCTGAGACGGGGCTCCCATGGGGCTCCTGAGATTGTGCAGGGGACATCTCTGAGCTGCCCCCCACCCAAGGTCCCTTGTCCTCAGGCTGAGGGATTTGCAAAGTTCACTAAGCCCACTGGCAGAGTGGTGACTGCCAAGGGGCACTGTCAGGGGAGTCCAGCCATGTCCACATGCATGCATGTGATCCAGCACAGGTCCATGTACACACCACACGTCTCCACATATAAACCCAAGTCTCCACACAACCCTGCACATACACTCCACCAGTTTCCACCCCTGAGCAAACCGCAAGGAGTGCATCCAGGGGGCCCAGGACCTCAGAAGAGCTGTCCAGAGCAGTCAAGATCCTGCCATGCAGACTAGAACAAGTCTCCTGCCCCCTCAGTGCCCTCAGGTGTGATTCAGGTGAAGACGTGGACCTGGACTTGAGGGGCCACCCAGGGACTGAGTGACACAGACCTGACCCGCCCAGGGCCACACCCTAGTTAGCCCACACTGTGGCCTTGGTGCTCCTCTCTCTGACACACTTGGGGCTCTCTGGAGGCCGTTCCAGTCCTGCCTCATATTCCCAGGTGTCCAGCCAGGGCCCTGAGTCCCTTTCTTGCTCCAGGCCCATACCAGTTTCTACCAGTTCCTCCCCTGTGCTCAGCACCCCCATGTCACGTGCTTTCCAATCTTGAGGTCTCTAGGCAACTCGGCATTGTCTTCTGCACCCCCAGCTCTGTTCCCACAAAACTCAGCCTCCGCTCCACACCAACTCCTTCTGGTTCCTGGGGACACTGCACTGTGGTGTTTTGGGGGACAGTTGGAGCTGACAGGGCCACCATTTCAGAGATGAAGCCACTCACCCAGTGTGAGCTAGGCACTCGACTCCATCTCTGGTGTTTTCACCAAGCCCAAGATCTCCATGGGGTACAGTGAGACACCTCGACCTTGAGCAAGCTCCCTTGGAACAATTCCTGCCGACCCCAGAGGGCAACACCAGCTGCAGAAACTGAAGTCCCAGCTCCCACATGACTTCCCGCGGCACATGACCACAGGCGCTGACAAGTGGTGACTTTGCAGTTGGCAGAGGTCACTTCTGGATGTCATCAAGGTGAGGATACCAAGTTTAAAATGATCCTCATGGAGCACCTAGGTCCCCCAAAGTCTGACCTCAAGAACGCATCCCCAGATGCCCCAGGCCCCAGCTTGAGAAACAGGGCATGAACATCGGATCCAACAGGCCGGCTAGATGGCCTGCTCCGGCCTCTGGCTGGGCCTGGTGGCCAGGTAGCCTATCTGAGCTGTGCTGCCCTGTCTGGGACTCGTCTCATCACCCAGCTAGCATCTAGTTTCTTTGGACTGGGAATTTCCCATCTTCGAGGAAATGTGCTAGCATGTCTCCCACGGAGCAGCCTCCAGACCTGCGTCCTCCCCGGCGAGCGTCCCTCAGCTCCTGCAAGAGTTGCCCTTGTCGCCCGCAGCCCAGCTCCTCCTGACCCATTTTGCATAGCCTCTCCAAGGACACAGAGTTCATGGAGGTCACCGCTGCTACTGGTAGGTGTCCTCACTCCACTTGGCCCCTACTCCCTCCCCTTGCCAGCATGCACAGTGCAGTCACCTCTCCTGGGTGGAGCACCCTTCACTGCAGGGGCAGCAGATCAGGCTCCCCGGCCACTCCTCCGTTTCCTGTCCCCGACATCCCGGGCCTCTTCTCTAACCAAACTCCCTGCTTCCTCAGACTGCTCCTCCTCCCAAGGTCCCGTCTCAGGGAAGCAAGGACCCCATTCATCTCCTCGACCTGGACAAGACCTGGGAGCCACCCTGGAATTCCTGCTGTCTTTCCCTTGCCTTGAATCTTCTGCAGTCACCCTGAAAATTTACCAAGACCCTGACCCTTCTTGAGACCTGAGAGCACCCAGAGTGCGTTCAGACACAAGCCAGTCCCCGCCGTCCTCTTTCCCATACTGCAATCCTCCATCCCTCGCTGCACATGCAGAAGGCCTGGGTTCAAATCCCAGTCCTGCTACTTCCTTTGTGATAGTGGGCAAGTCCTGTCTTCTGTTTGCTTCAGTTTTTCATCTGTAAAATGGGTTGTTGCAAGGACAGAGTCCTACAGACAGAGCTTGACAATTAATAAATACTATGCAAAGTTGAGTGTCATTGTTCCTCTGTTTTTATTGTTACTTTTATGGTTGCTGCTAGCACAAGCCAGGTGACTAGCGTCTCCCCACTCACCCTCAGCCATCACGCGCCACCCTCCCTCCCCAAGCGCCCAGCCCCATGAGCAGCAGGCTGTAAATTTTTCCTATCTCCTCATAAACCGAGCCGTCCTCGGCTCAGTCATCACCTGGCCCGCAGCGCTGTCAGAAAGACGGATGCCACATCTGCCTTGTTTATGACTTTAATTCCCAGCCCTGCTCTGCGGGTGCTGGGGTAGAGCTGGGAGGGGGCTGGGAGCTGGTGCCCTCCCAGGCTGCCAGCTGTGGAGCAGAGAGAGACGCCCCGTGAGGGGACCACCTGAAAGTACTTCCTGCTGCCCAGCCCCCAGGGGCTCAATGAGTGCTGGGGGCTGGGATTCCTGGAGACCCAGCCAAGGACATGAGACTGCGAGTGGTACAGCACCAGGACTTCCAGCTCCAGAAGCTGTCAACGGCCCCCCGACAAAGAGGGGCGTCCCACGCAGCCCGGGCCCCAGCTGCGGTCCCTGCCGTGCACTGCCACCGCCCTCTTCACATAGGTGCTGGGCAAACTGAGACACAAGTGCCAGCCCCAGCTCACTGCCTCCCCTCCTTCCTGGGCCTCGTCCCCAATACACTTTCAGCTCTCAAGCCCCCTGGGGGAGATGAAGGCGGAAAGACAGATGAGGCCTTCCCGAGAGTGAGACCAGGACTGAGCAGTTCTTCCTGCCCTCTCAGAAGGTCACCCAGCCTGTCCATGACAGACAGGAAGGAAGGAATCCAGCAAAGGACACACATGCGCGCCACACCATCTTGGGCAGAGCTGGAGACCAGCAGAGGTGACCTGTGTCTGCCTGAATCGAGGCAGAGGATGAGGCCGCCAGAGCTGGACTCATGGGTGGTAAGAGGGCGGCAGTGTCCACAGGCACAGGGAGTGGGACAGCTGGGTGAGAGGGAGAGGGTGGGCTCCAACACCGGCACTGCCGAGCTCCTGTGCCTCGGTTTCCCTGCTGTGAAATGGGTGCCGTGCCGGCGATATCCAAACCCCACCAGCAGGCCCACTGCACCCTTCTCCGGGTCTGAGACCCCACTGCTGGCCTAAGCCCCGCTCCCCTCGCTGCTTTGCTAGGGATGGCAGGATGGCGACAACCAGTCTCTGAGCGCCTGCCACAAGCATCAGATTTCAGCAGCCTCATCCCCACAGCAAACCCAGGAGCTGGCAGTGACTTCCAGTTCCACAGACAAGCACCTGAGACCACAGAAGTCAAAGAACTTGTCTAAGGTCACACAGCAGGAGGAGCTGACCTGGGTTGGTCCCCTGGCCCCCTCCCAGGAGCTCCGTGTCCCCCAATGTCCCATGTGTCTAAAGCTTCCAGTGGGCTCCACAGGGGACTCAGTAAGCTGCAAGGTGCTGTCCTATTCCCAGCAACCCCATGATCCTCAGCCTGCTCCCGTTTGGGGATCCCAAGTCCTCCTGCCTCTCACTGTCTCTCAAGCCAGAGACTCGGAACTCCTTCACTGTGCAGCGGACCCCACAAGGCCCTTCTTGTTGCAGGGGTTCTGCCGCACCCAGTGTGGGAAAGGACAGAATGTTGGGGGAGTGGCCAGCTGTCACAATTTTTGCAGACTCCCCAGCTGATCCAATCACCTCAGGAGCTTAAAACTCCCCCCAATCCAGGCCCCACCTGAGCTTCTGATTTAGGAGTCTGAGAGCTGCCATGTTACAGTTTACCAAGGGCTCCACCAGTGCCTCCCACTTCCCTCCAGAATGTTCTCGTCCTTCTTCCCTGCCTCTATGACACTGAGAGCTGACACTGCCCTTAGAGCCACTAGAGAGAGCCAGGAATCCTCCAGACACAGCCTGCAGGGCCTGCCGGACAGCCAAGTGACCCCAGAAAGCCTGACCCTCAGCATCCTCGGCACTGGGCTCACGAGGCGCCCCCGTCCGGCCCCTCCCAGCCCATCCCCAGCCTGTGATCAGGATGCCTACACCATGCTGCACTCGGCACGCTAAGTGCACCAGAGCAGGAGGGATGGGTCACTGGCCACCCTGCCCGAGAGGGCTCAGCCTCCGTGCCCGGCGTGTTGGACTTCTCACAGCTCTGCTGTGCTTGCTGCTCGGTTAGGGCCCTTGCTGGGCAGCTCTGGGTCCGTTGTTTGGCCTCTTTGGCTCTCCAGAGCTCCATCTGTGGTCATTATAAAAGTATCCAGAGTTGTGAGGGAGAAATGAGATGAGGTATTCAAAAGTCTGAAACACGGAAGCATAACAGTGGCGTTCACGGTCATTAGCTCCCCCGGGGACTGCATAAGCCTGTGTGGAAGACACACACAGACCCTTCCCACTCGTGCACACTGACTCATGCACGTATGAGGTCTCATGTGCATGTGCACACACAGCCTGCCAGGCACACTCATGCCCCTGCGTGCACTCTCAGAGCAATGAGTTAGGCAGGACTTCACCCAGGTGCCCAGGGGATGGATGCACCATCCAACGGCTGGGACCCTGCGGCTGCCAGGGCTCAGCATGTCCCCTTCCTCACCACCACATCCCACCCAGGCCCTGGTGGACCCAATCTGTCAGACAGCAAGCAGCAGGTCCCTGGCCCGCAGGCCTCCTCCAAAAAACCCTGGGTAATGTGGCAAAACGCAAGGCAGACTGCCATCTACCTGGGCACCTGCATGGTGAGAGGTACCCAGATCCCACTCCATGTCATGGAGGGACCCTGTCACACAGCCACCCAGACCCCAGCATGCAGGGCCCCATGCCCACAAACACCTAAAGTGGGCACCATGATTGCTACTTCGGGGGCTGAGGGCCTACAGCTCAGACCTGGGCTCAAAACCTGCTTGGCCCACTCGCAGGGGCGGGCGGTCCGCCCTCCGTGAAATGGCCACCCCTACCCCCTGTGTAGCTCACTCACTCAGCCCACAGGCCTCAGGCGTTGCCTTTGTAGGGAAGGCTCCCCTGGTCACTTCAAAGAGGCACACACCCAACACACACTTCCCCTCTTTTCCTTAACTTTTTTTTTCTGTTTGTTTTCTATTGCACATTTCTGACACATTCTATAATTTATTTATCTACTTGTCATCTGCCTCGCAAAACCTCCTGGAGAATTTTGGCTCTGATCTCCACTATGCTTACCACAGGGCCTGGTGATCCTGAGAGCAAAACTGGCATTTGTTGAGTGACTGAGGGAATCTTTTTTTTTTTTTTTTGATACGGGGTCTCACTAGGCAGCTAGGACTTGGGATCCTCCTGTTTCAGCCTCCCCAGCGCTTGATGGGCTAGAGGAGGTTTCTGTTCAGAGTTAAGATCACTGTGCTTAGGACCTGAATGCAGTTTTGTAGACCAGCCCTAAGAGTCCAGTTGAACCCCAAGGCAGTCAGACGGCCTGAGAGCTCCTTCCCCAAGTCATAGGCAGCTCGCCAACCCAGGGACCACAACTGTTTCCACAACCAACGCTAAACTCTGGCCCCGCCTCCTCGGGCCCGGGCCCGCCCCGCCCCCTCCATGGCCCCGCCCCCCGCCCGCGCATGCTCACTGGTGCACTTCTTGACGTGGCTGCCCTTCTTGAGCGCGTGGCGGCTCAGCTTGCAGTGGAAGTTGTCCTCCCAGAACTCGGCAAACCAGATGTTGCGCCGGTTGTTGTCCAGCGTGCGGCTGGAGAAGTAGCGGTCGAAGCCTGGCAGGGAACCCAGAGGTCAGGGCCTGGGACCGCAGTCCTGCGACCCGGCCCGCCTCGGGATGTCACGATTCCCTTCCAGCTAAAGGAGCAGCATAGCCCGCAGCCCACGGGCCCTTCGTCCTGCCGCCGAGCGCACCTGAGAGTGCGGGGCAGCCGGGTTGCCCGCTGACGGCACGCGGGGCGGGGCGGGCCGGGCCGGGCAGTTGTGGCGCCGAGAGCTCGCTAGCGCTAGGGTTTCTGACCACGTGGGTTTCAGGGTGGTGCTGAAACTTGGCTTCCTACACGTAAGTGGCTTCTGGGTGAAGAGAGGGCATTGCCGCCGACCTTGAGCATGTCCCCTCCTCAGCCTTAATCTCAGGGAAGGAAGGGCTGCGGGGGAGGAGATGTGTGAGGTCCCCCCAGATCCCCCCAGCCCAGTCGCCATCCGGGGACCTGCCCCTGGCCCAGCACCCCTGGGAGCCTGGCAGCTCCCCGCTCCTGGCAGAGGACTCCAGGCAGGGCAGGGCCGGGCCTTGCCTCTCCTTTGCTAGAGGAGGGAGGGTGGCTCGCACGGCTGGAGAAGCCTTCGGAGTCGTCTCTGCCGACTCTGTGCGTGCCACACTCCTCCCACACCCCAGAGTGCCTGAGCAGGGAGAGAATGGGATGAGCCTGCGGTGCGCCAGCTCTGCAGTGCTGAGTGTGGCCCGGAGCTCAGACACAAGAGGCTCCAGGCCAAGGAGCCAGGAGGAAAGATCCTGGAACCAGGGAACAGGAGCAGGAACTGGGGGAGGGGGGGGCAGTAACTGTCCAGGAGGAGGCTGCGGTTGCTAGGCTGGTGTGCCGTCCCTCCACTGGCCTACCTCGGACAGACATCCTCTTGGGGAGGATGGTGACAGCACCCTCGGCCACCTCCTCCAGGTGCAGCACCGGTGCAATCTTGGAGCCCCAGCTGTCTGAGCCCATCCAGAAGAAGTGGCCCGTCTGGTTGGCCCTGCGCGCCGCCTCCAGCACACGCCTGGGGACACACAGTAGCCCAGCCCAGCTGTGTCTGGCCACATAGCTGCCACGCCTGCTTGTAGGCCCATAGCGCATACCTGTGCCCCTCATGGCTGCCAGTCCCCACCCCGACCCACCGGAGCCCAGGGCCCACAGCTCCGCCCTCCGTGACTGTCCCCCAGACCTGGGCCTACGCCCTGCCTTTCTCCAAGCCTGTGCCAGGCCTCTCCTGTCACCAAGCCAGTGTGCCTCCAGGCTCGCATCTGTCGCTGCAGAGGCCACATTCGAGGCAGGTTTGTCTCCCTGGATCACACCTGCCTGGAATGTCTCAGGTCCTGGAATTCATCCGACCAGCCTGGTCTGTCAGACCCCTGCCTTCTGTCCTAGGCCACACCCACACTCCTTAGCCAGCCTCACTGTCACACACACCTCTACCTCTGGAATGGGGGGCCAGCAGGGCCCTTCTCCATGTACCCACCCTGTGCCAAAAGCCCTGGCCTTCCCAAATCTGCTCCCCACCCTGCCAGGTGGATAAGGATATAGGGTCAGCAGCTGCTCACTGCCCTACCCCCAGGACAATGTGACAGGGACCTCCATCAAACCAGGCACGGAGAGCCCAACCCAGGCCAAGGGGATGCTCTATGAATTAAGTGACCCTCAGTGACAGCTCCATGGCCGAATCTCACTAGCCTCGCATCCCCATGGGAAGACTGGAGCAGAGCAAATTGTGAGGCCAGACATTGTCCCTGCCCTCAGTGGAGACCCAGGGCTTGGGTGGCACTGGGCCTGTGCAGACTGGCCAGCAGGGCCTAGGCCTCCTAGAGAGGAGGACAATGTCCAGGCTGAGGAACCTGGTCCCTCCTGCCTCCATCTTCTGACTCCCTACGCTTCCCAGGCAGCCACCACCTCAGGCCACCACTAATGGCAGGTGGGGCTGCTCAGAGCCCACCCCACAGCCCTATTAATACCAGCCTGCTTCCATCTGCCCCAGAGGACAGTGCCCAACCCAGCGTCCCTGCAAAGTGACCTGTGTTTATTTTTACTGTTTGCTTCTGAAAATGCAGATGGATTTCCAGAAATGACCCACCTCTCCCCACACTGGCTGCCCACAGCCAGCTCTGGCATGGGTCTGCGTCCTGTCCACCCCTTCTTGTCTGGAACAGAGGCCAGATCCTCTGTCCTTCTCTGCTAGCTTGGGGATCTACCTTAGCTGCCAGTATCCCTGAAAGCAGCAGGCCTGGTGGGGGTGCAGAGGTGTCGTGAGGACAGGGAGCTCAGGAGTGTCAGAGCCAGAGTTTTGGGGACCCACCCCTTGAGGGGACAGGAGCTCCCTCTGTAAAGTTTGGAGAGGATCAAAACAGAGGTCCTAGGATGCCCCCCCCAACTTTTCCTGACTGAGACACCCCAGCAGTAAGTCATTTTGGTGCCAGGTGACCTTCCAGCTCTCCACCAAGTTCCAGGCCCTCAACCCCTGCCAGGGTAGATGTGCAGAAAGAGGTTGTTCTGGGGTTCCTACAGGGCATGTGCTGGTGGCCAGTGCTTGCTGCCCCCAGTCTGCAGATGGGAAGAATGAGGCCTAGGAGGGCGTCATCCAACCACTGAATGTGTCTGAGCCAAGACCCCCAGCCACTCCTAGCCTGTACCCTGAGCTCCGCAAAGAGGGGAGGGGCTGCAGGGTGGCCAGCATTTATGGGGCACCTACTTCCTGCCAGTTCCTGCTACTCAGTTTTCAAATGCTATTAGGTGGGCACCTGCTTTTATTATTTACTAAAGAGCAACAAAGAGGCCCAGAGAGATTAAGAGCTTGCCAAGACCACACAGCTCTAGGTGGGATTGGAATCCTGGCTCTGGCCCCCACATCCACAGGCTCATTGCTGCCTGCTGGCCATTGCTGGCAGGTGGAAGCGGTGCAGGAAAGGGGAGGGAAGGGCACCCACTAGTGGTGGTCTGGCCTTACTCACACCCGGCTCCGCCACCCCCACCTCTGGACACAAAGTGGGCTCAGGCCCCTTGGCCCCTGCCACCAGCACTCACCTGATGTCGTCTTCATTGGCAAAGATGATGACGGCCCTGGCGTTGGAGGTCTCCAGGAGCCGCCGAATGATCTTGTCGAACTCACCCGTCTTAGGTTCCCGGGGGATCTTCACCGACTGTGCAATGCACACGCCCCCTGTGGGAGAGGCAGGTCAGCCCAGCCCCGGCCTGGAGATGGGGCACCACCCCAGGGCAGGGCCAGGACAGGCTGTGCTGTCTTGACTCTGCCCTCCAGTTGGTGACCCTGGGGAAGTCACCGAAGGGCTCTCTCTGTGCCTCCGTTTCCCTGTGTAGAAGCTACAGGTGATATGGCATTGTGACCACCTGGGTTTGAATCCCAGACCTGCTGGCCACTGCAAAGTGACCTCAGGCCAGTCCCTGAGCTGCCTGGAGCCTCGGACACACCCCGATGAAGTGAAGGGAATAAGGCAATTTACTCCTTCAGATTATTATCAAACACAAGTTAAAAACAAAATGTAAATGCAGTGCTGTCCTCAGGCCACGGGCTGCAGGAGTCTGTTCTCACTAAAACCACCTGGGAAGCTTTCGAGGGTTAAATCCAAAAACCTTAAATGCCCCATAGTGCCATCTACATAGACGCTGGGCTCCCCTCAGCGCCCACCTTGGCTGGGCCCCCCTGAACCCCTGCCCACCAGACAAAGTGGCAAGCAATAGCTACTCACTGTAGCCTCAGGAACTCATGCCCAGACCATGTTGCCGCCAGATGTCCCCAAAGTGCCACCTAGCCAGTGCCAGCTGTAGCCAGGACTCTCTGGAGCTGGCAGCCCTGCACACTATTTACGTATCTAAGTCCCATCCAGCCCCTGTCCTGCAGGCAGCTGAGGACCGCTGCATCACACGTCACCCACGGCACCTGATGCAGGAGGGACAGATGCGGGGGGAGGAACTCACTTGAAGCCCCACAGTGCCCTCCCTACCCTACTGCTACCCAGGAGCTGGGAGCACCCAGAAAATACAACCCTGTGCCCGGCGACAGAGCAGGCTGTTGTGGGAAGGCACAAGGGATGCACTGGCATGAAGCCAGGTCCACTGAGCCTCTGGCCTCCTCTGGGTCCTCCTGAACCCCTCCAATGCCTCGGTGCCCACCTTGGCTGGGCCCCCCAGTGCTGCCTCGTGCGTGCCTGGGCCTCACCTGAGCCTCTGTCCAGGCTCAATGCCCCAGTCCACCAGCACTTCAACTCTTCCAGCAGCCTACCACACAGCCCACAGGAGGCTGCCAACCGGAAGCGACATAGGGCTGAGCAGCCAGATGCTGGAGCACCCAAGGCAACAAGTGGGGCTCAGCAGGAGTGGCTGCTCTGGCCCAGGGCCACGGGTCATACACAGGCCTGCACACACAGTGCATAGGCCTCTCTGGTCCACCCAGGAAGTCCTCAGCACCACAGAGGGGCACAATGGCCAGCAGAGCAGGGTCATGGAGAGAAGGAGCAAGGGGCCCCAGATGGGACCATGCCCCTTCCAGCCCAGGTGCCCACAGCCATGGATCTGCCAGGTGCTGATGGTGGTGGGCAGGCACCCAGATGCCCAATGATACCTCCATGTGGTACCTTTCCAATTAGAAAGTGGGTGAACTGCGATCTTTCTCCCCTAATCTGGGGAGACAGATGGACAGACAGGAGAAAGAGGCTGGGCTGGCCAGGTAGGGAGGGAGGGGAGGACGGGATGGGGTGTGTTTATCACTCTCAAACAGACAGCAACGGGGGCCGGGGAGATGGCTCAGTGGAATAAGTGCTTCCCTGGCACGAGCAAGGGCCTGAATTCAATCCCAAATTCCACAAAAAAAAAAAAAAAGAGAGAGATAGAGAGAGAGAGACTAGAATGTTCTAAGCCTCTAGAACAACAGACAAAAACCCTGTTTCTGGGCTTTATGGGTTCTGCAGTGAGTGCTGGGAGGTACTGGGTGCTGTGAAGACCTGGGGTGGGTGCTGCAGGGCAGTGCCAGCAGCCTGGGACTCACAGTGGCGGGGGAAGCCACAGCACGGTGGCAGCCTGGTCTGGTCTTCAGGAGAGGCTTAGCTCCTTGAAGCGTCCCTGGCCTTGCCCCCGTTTGCCAGGTGGGTTTCTTGGTGCACAGGTGATGGGTGAGTGGGATCTGAAGGGGGTGTTGGGTGGGAGGGACAGGGATGCCCTAGCTCCAGGGCTCGGAGATGTACCAGGGTGTGATGGCTGGGGCCCCCGCTGTGATGGAAGGGCTGGAGCCCGGAGTGCTGTGGGCTACTGTGTGGCTCGTGGCCTGCAGAAGCACAGCTGGGACACATGTCCAGTCCCGGAACTCAGAGCCGCCACCATCACCCCAGCTACAAGCCTTGCCGTCCCAGCTAAGGCAGGCCCCAAGGACACCTCTGGCCTGCTTGCTAATATAGGGGCATCTGGAGGGTCCAGGTGACACCCAAGAACACCAGCAGGGCACTGGGTGCTCACGCTCTGTGCCGCACCTCTGCTGCGGGGATGGCACCACATGGTCCGTGTGTGGGTAAAGAAGCTGGCGCTCGGGCTAAGTGGCTTCTCCAAGGTGGAGAAGGTAGGCACAGAGCAGAGTTAGAGGGCCGGGGAGATGGCTCAGTGGAATAAGTGCTTCCCTGGCAAGCGCAAGGGCCTGAGTTCACTCCCCAGATCCACAAAACAGGACGACAGTCAGTTGTGTGTGTATTATTTGAATCAATAAACCCTTCTGGAGACTATTTAAAAAAACAAAACAAAACAGAGTTAGAGTCAGGCACTGGCCGCCGTGCGTGGAGGAGGGAGGAGGGAGGCGAGGGCCTGGTCATGCCCAGCGCAGCCCTGGGGCAGTGCCCGCTGCTGCACTGCTGCCACTCCCAGAGGAAGAAACAAGTGCCTGCAGGTCCCTGCTCCACTGCCTGGCACGGGAGGGCACCAGGCTCTCTGAGGGCACAGCTGTGACCATGGTGGCCAGCCACAGCCAGGCCGGCGGCAGTGGCCACGGGAGCCAGCAGTGGCAGAGCCATTGTATGCCAGGCACCATGCCAGGCCTGGTCTCGAAGGGTGCTCACACTCCCTGGGGCAGGTGCTTATGTTCCCATCAGACAGGTGGAAACTGAGGCCTGGAAGTGCCAATGGCTCAACAGGCCCAGTGTCCCCCAGGCAGAAAGACCCCTTGTCACCCGTCAGCTGTGAGGCTGTTCCTGTAGTATGCACAGAGAACAGAAGGGCAGCATCTCCCGTGATCACGGATTGGACATGTGTCCCAGCCGCACTACTGCAGGCCACGAGCCACACAGTAGCCCACAGCACTCCGGGCTCCAGCCCTTCCATCACAGCGGGGGCCCCAGCCATCACACCCTGGTACATCTCCGAGCCCTGGAGCTAGGGCATCCCTGTCCCTCCCACCCAACACCCCCTTCAGATCCCACTCACCCATCACCTGTGCACCAAGAAACCCACCTGGCAAACGGGGGCAAGGCCAGGGATGCTTCAAGGAGCTAAGCCTCTCCTGAAGACCAGACCAGGCTGCCACCGTGCTGTGGCTCCCCCCGCCACTGTGAGTCCCAGGCTGCTGGCACTGCCCTGCAGCACCCACCCCAGGTCTTCACAGCACCCAGTACCTCCCAGCACTCACTGAAGCACTCACAAAGCCCAGATGGCAGATCCTGGGGACCCCAAGGGGACTCCTTTCCTCTTCCTCTTTCCTTTTGAAAAACTTTTTGGTTTTAAAAACGGAGAACAACAAAGAGAACAGCCCTAGGAAATCAAGTGGAAAAATCCACGCTGCGGCAAAATGTGAAGGTGGCAAATCGCAGCGACGAGGGAGAAGGATGCCACGAGACCCAAGGACAGGGGAGGGGTGCCCCAGGGCCCCAAGGTTCCCAGCAGAGAGGGAGTGTAGGCAGAGAGAGGCTGGTGTGCACACAGATACACGCACGCACGCACAGTTCTTTCTCTCCCCCCGGCCTCTCCTTCCCACTGATGCCCTAACCCACCCTACCCAAAAGTAGCTCTCAGGAAAGGGACTAGAAGGAGCTACTCAGAGGGGTCAGTACCAGTGAGGTCCTACTCTGCCCATCCCCCCCGCCAGCCTCTCCCTCAGCAGGCCCAGGTCTTCTGGGGTCTTTCTGCCCAGGACATGTACAGAGCCTGCTGGACAGGGCGGTGATGGGGTGTCCAGCTGCCAGGGACACAGAGGGATAGCCTAGCAGGGACAGCAGCAGTAGGAATCCCAGGGGCACCTATGCCTGCTCCCGGGGTCCTGCCACACAGCCCAGTGACTCCCTGAGCGGCCAACCTGTGCCATGCTCAGGCCCTGGGACCCCACCAGCGTCTGGCGTCTCCTCAGCACAAGGCTCCAGGCGTTGTGCTGCCCTGGCCGTGTGCCCAGCCCTGCTCTGTGAGACTCACTTCTTCCACCACATGTGCAAAGCAGGAGCAAGTGGAGAAAACGGGGAGCCAGCCGTGCAAACTAGCCAGACCCCACCTCCAGTCCAACGACAGCTGGGCCGGCAGAGAAGGCAAGTGATGAGATGCCACCTCCTGCTGTGGTCACTCAGCCTGTGGCACACAGCAGGCTCCCTGGCAAGAGACTTGGAAGACAACAGTGACGCAGATGCCAAGGGCCATGAAGGGCCAGCTGTGGGGTTCCCAGGCCAGAGCATGCCATGCACCCCAGGAGGCTTAGGGAGAAGCAGCCCCTGCCTCCTGCCTGTGACTCCAGGTTCCCATCTGGGAAACAGGCAAGGACTTCCACTCCACCCCACAGGGCCAGGGTCACAGCCAGGGCCAGACCCGAGGTGACTGAAGGTCTGGAGCCACCACCTCGGGGTGAGGGTCAGGCTGTAGGACAAGAGCCGAGCCAGGGCCCCGAGTCCTCACCGCCACACCAGTGAGGGCAGCCCCTGAGGCCACAGCTCTGGGGACCCAAACTGGACGTGGGCAGTACCTGGCCGCAGCCAGGGGCCCCATCACTGCCAAGCAGTGCTCACATCCTCCCCCGGGCACTGCCCTTGTCACCTGCCACGTGTGTGTACACCCACACAGGGCAACACCCTCAAACCAAACCACTGCACACCACCAGCCTCACACCGTACCCACGACCCAGGGACTCCTCACAAACCGCATCCCACAAGGACACGCTCGGGGCCACACGCACATGCTGATGCTGAC